AGCGGGGCCGCCAGCGGGGCCGCCGGGCACGGGCGCCTCCTTGCCGCCTCTTCCATGCTCCTCCTCCTCTTCTCCTCGTCGTCGTCGTCCTCCTCCTGCTTTTCCTCCCCCTCCCCCTCGTTTCCCTCCTCCTCCTTCCCCTCCTCCCCCTTCTCCTTCCCTCCATCCTCCTTTTTTTCTCTGACTCCCCCTCTTTCCCTCTCCTCCTCCTCCTCTCCTCCCTCCTCCTTTTCGTTTATTCCTCATCCTCCTTCCTCCTCTCCTCCACCTGCTCTCCTCCTCTTCCTCCTTCCTATCTCTTCCTTCTCCTCCTTCTCCCTCCTCATCCTCCTCTTTCCTCCTCTCTATTCCTCTCCTCTTCCTCCTTACTTCATCCTCTTCCTACTTTTCCTGATTATCCTCTTTTTCTCCTCCACTCTTTCCTCCTCCTCCTACACCTTTCCGTCTCCTGTTCTTTCTCCTCTCCTCACTCCTCATCCTACCCTCCTCTTCCTTTCGCCAACTTCTCCTCCGCTCCTCTCCTTTTCCTACTCTCCTTCCCTTCTCCTCCTCTATCATCTACTCCTCCCCCTGCACACTCGTTCAACACTATCCTCCTACCCCTTCTCCTCCTCCTAATCCTTCCTCCTCCTCCTCCCTCCTACTCTCTCCTCTCCTCCTCCTCCCCTTCCTCATCCTCCTCCTCCTCCTCATCCTCCTCCTCCTCCTCCTCCTCCTCCTTGTCCTCCTCCTTCTCCTTCTTCTCCTGCTCCTCCCCCTCGTCCCCTCCGTAGCCATTTTGGCTCAAGATGTATGATTTTCCTGGGAATCGCACGGGTACTGTAGACCGCGGCAGTTTTCCAGTCTTTCGCTCGGTCCGCCCCAGTCCGAGCTTCCTGTCGTCCGCCCCCAAGACAGGCAGCTATTTTCTCAGTCCGCCATGCAGGATGGCGGCCCCCAACATAATACGAAATGCATCCCCTGTCGCTACAAGTGGACGTGGCATGGCAAGACCAACTGCTTTGCCCGCGGCAAGGCGCCCGAGCTCGCCAGTGTGCCCTGGGCCCCGCTTCCGTCGCCAGGAGGGGCTGGAACCGCACCCGGTCTGAAGGGCCTGACGGAGATGGGTGGTACGATTCATCCAGTTGGCCCACGTCGGGCCGTCGCCGTGGTGCACCTGCCGCATCGAGCTACCAGCCACCCCCGAAGGCGTCGGGGGAGGGCACTTCGACGGCCGTCCAGCAGCCCGCGGGCCGCGAGGAGCTCCTCAAGTGGCTCGAGGCCTCCCTGTCTGCGCAGAAGTAAACTCACTTGTAGCAAGCTCGAGGGCGCACTGCCTCGGCAACCGCCGCCAACACCCGAGGACCCCAACATAGTGTACAGTCGGGGCCCTGAAGAAGCAACCCTTTTGGTTGGGGAGGGGCTCCGCGTTCCTTCAGTGTTTCACAGCTTGCCTCAGGTTTTCCTCATGTTTTCGACAGGAAATCGAAGTTAAACTTACGGAAGACAGGGGCCTCGTTCCTTATTTAGGGTTCCTTAGGTCAACGCCCCGACTGTACCTCGGCAGCCGCCGCCAACGCCCGAGGACCCCAATAAGGTGTACCAGCGTGCGGCGGCGGCGGAGAGGCGGACCAGGAAGGCCCTGGGTGTGGCTCTGGAGTCGGAGTGCAGGATCAGGGTCTGTTACGTTGCATCTTTGAGAGACCTCGCCTGTCCCCCAAATTGGTGTCTTTTCTTGTGCCCGACGCGGGCGCAATGCGGACTCGACGCGGATTTGGCATGGATTCGACGCGGATTCGACACGGATTCGACATGGATCCGACGAATCCGACACGGATTCGACGCGAACAGGGCAGACAAGGTCCCTCGAGGATGCAACATAAGGTCTGGCCCCTCGGGTGCCACTTCTGCTTCCTTCCAGGCTGCCGCGGAGCAGCTCGAGGCCTCGCGGGCGGCCGGGGCCGCTCGTGCAGCTCATCGCCAAAAGGAGGAGAGGGGGGCCACGTCCGCGCCGGGCCCCCGGAGCAGGCGGCAGGCAGCGCGGCAGCGCTCGACCTCACCAGGCTTCTCTCGAGACTGGCGGAGGGGTCGAGCTCGTGGCGGGCTCGGCTTTCGATCCGAGGCCCGAAAACCATCACGTCACTAATGTTGGGCCCCAGGGCCCATGGAGGCCCCAGGGGCCCCAGATTGGTGAAGTGATGCTTTTTCCCACGTAAGGACAACGAAACTCATCACTTCACTAAACCGAACCCAGGACGAAAGTCAGAGGCCGAATTGCTGCTGTGATGCAACATATGTCTCGTAGGAGGGGTCGAGCTCGTGGCGGGCTCGGCCTTCGACGCCGCGGGGTCGGACGTCCGCGAGGCAGGCCTCGACGAGCCACGGGCCCTTCGGAAGCAGTCTGCCGACGAGCTGCCTCGCAGAGGTCCCGGCAGACATTCGGCGAGTCGGTTGGCAACCTCGTCCTCCCTGCGCGAGGAGCACAAGCAGCCCGCCTCTCGCCTGCAGTCCGAGAGGCGTCGCGCTGCGGGCGCCGCCCCCCCTCCCCGGCGGGAGGCGCTTCCGAGCGCCCCGATGCGCCTGCGGCCGCCCCCTGAGGCCGCGGGCGGGGCACCGCCGCCCGCGGGCCAGGGGGGCCTGCTGCCTCCTCCTCCTCCTCCTCCTCCTCCTCCTCCTCCTCCTCCTCTCCTCCTCCTCCTCCTCCGCCCTCCGCCCTCCTCCTCCTCCCTCATCCTCCTCCTCCTCCTCCTCCCTCCTCCTCCTCCTCCTCCTCCTCCTCCAATCTTAGCATGCAGGAGGGGATACTACTCAATGGGGAGGTTCTGGTCTCGTAATCGGGTATGGCGCCTTACTCGTACTGTATTCGGAGCGGTCGTTCAGAGTGCGCTGCTGTCTGGGCTCACCACCCTCATCTTGACAGAGGCCCAGGAATCCAGGCTTGACCGAGTTTTTGTCGGGTTCGGGCGTAAGTTGCTCGGCGGTGACGCTTGTGCCAAGACGACCGTGGTGGACGGCGACGGTGAGCCTATCTTAGACGGCGACGGTCAGGAGGTCGTAAAATATCGGGCCCTGTCGGACGAGGTTGTGCTACGCCGAGTGGGGGTTGCGCCGTCTGGGGTTGAACTATGCGTTCGTCGACTTCGCACCTATCGGAGATGGATCGCCCGACCCTCTTGCCACCCTCAAGAAATCGCGGCCGTTTTCGGCCAGCTCCCGCTCGAAGAGACCCCCACGATCCTCGAGAACGGCACGCTCGGGCCCAAGGTTAATCCGTACGCTCGGAGGTTTGCCCTGGATGTCTTGAGGCTCCTGGACCGCTCCGAGGCCGAGGGCTTGGGGGACCTGCTGAAGGTTTCGGACTCGAGTCTGGACTCTTGGAGGCGACTAAATGTTCGAGCTCTATTTTTGGACGACGACCTCCGAGTACGATTTCTCGCTCTGGACCCTGGTATCTGGAGGGCCGCTGCCAGGACTGTGACAATTCCACCCCCTCCTGGGCTCTATGGGCATTTCGCTGGCGTTCCTGAGGTGCCCGAGGTCGTCCCACCCCCACCGATGCCGATATTGAGGTGTGAGCTTCGAGGTCCCGAAGGGAAAGAGTGTGGACGGGGGTTCAAGACACGGAGGGCTCTCATGGCACATCAGAGGTTCTCGCTTGGAGGAGGGCACGCGTGCCGCTCCGTGGTCCACACGGCCACGATCACGAACCAATGTATCTTCTGCATGCAGACGCTTCGAACTCGAAGGATCGCCCAGGAACGCCTCGTTCAGGCTACGCTCACTGGCAGGTGCTTCGCCCAGGCCTCCCCCTTCAAGCACCCCATCATACAGCCCGACTCCCTCGAGTGCCCGTTCGCGTCCCTCACGGTGAGCTCAGTGTTCGGGGGACATTGTCTGGAGTTCTGTTGTACCGTCGAACAGCCGTTTGGCACGTTGTTTGAGCTATCGCGGCACCTGAGGGAGCGCCACGCCCCCGAGAGCCTCTCTACTCAGCAGTACGGGCGCGCGCAGATGTTCAAATTCTCCGACGAGGCCCTCAGAGAGGCGGGAACCAGGTCCCGTTCCGTGCAGCGCGGCGGCTCTCAGCCGAGAGGACGGGGAGGCCGCTCTGGCTCGGCAGCCGCTTCCCGCAGGCGTGGCGATCGCACGAGAGGCGCCATGCGCAGTGCCGAGCCTCGAGGCGCCCAGCCTCAGCAGCGAGGGGCGGCGAACGCAGCAGGGGGACAAGGTGCAGTGGCGGCTCAGCTTGGAAAGGCCCACGGTTTGGAAGCCAACGTGCTGGACAAGCTACCGCCCATGGATCTGCAGCTGATGGCCAAGCTTTTCCCCATCATGATCCGCGGTGTCCTGGCGAATTCGTACCAGACTCGGGCCGTGAATGCAGCAGAGTTCCAACCGTTTCTGATCGTCGAGAACGCCGAGGTCGTGACGGGTGGCCTGACTGCGGGCAGGGCATACGCGAAGCAGGCGGCAGCCATGAGGGAGGAGCACGAGAAGGACCCGTCGAACCCCCTTCCCGAGTTGGCTATGGGGCCCGCTTGCGTACACATTTTTCTAGTTGTTTGCAAGAAGATCGTCGAGGCAGGAGTTGCAGTGGGCGCGGCCAACCAGCAGAAGTGGAAGGAGCAGCAGGAGAAGCTGGACGGCATCACGAATCTCACCGAGCTCAGCCTCCTCATCCGCGGCTTCCGCGTGTCGCACGCCTACAAAGAGGGCCAGGCGAAGGTCACCTTCTCGTTCGCGGACCTGCAGCTGACCTCGACGTTCATCGCGTGCATTACGCAGATGGGAGGGGTGCTGAAGCCAGGGATCGCGCCGCGTTCCAACGCAGAGCGCATCCTCCAGCTGGCGATCGACAGCTTCGACGTCTAGATGCGGCAGCTGCCGCGAACGTACCAGTCCAAGATCGGCCACTCCATGTTCCCCCATCGGCCTGGCGTGAAAACGCAAATCCTGGGCGGCCGCTCCTCGAGGTCGTCCCAGGTTCAGTCGCCACATGGCGTTAGAACGCATGTCTCTCCCTCTCGGCCTGGCGTTAGATCGCAAATCCTGGGCGGCCGCGCCTCGACGCTGTCCCAGGTTCAGTCGCCACATGGTGTTAGAACGCATGTCTCTCCCCCGCCTAGCGTTAGATCGCGAACTCTGGGCGACTGCTCCTCGGGGTCGTCCCAGGTTCAGTCGCCACGGAGTGCTAGAACGCATGGAGTCGGACACTGTAGTGCTGAAGTTCGATTGCGCTCGGAAGCTCGAGGGTCTGTTGTGGATCGGGCCCATGCTGGGGTTCAGTTGCGCTCGGAAGATCGGCGGAGTGCAGCGGATCGGGCACGTGCTGTGGATCAGTCTGGTTCGGGCGGTCTTCGAGGCACGGGGGATCAGGACGGTTCTGAAGTTCTACGGGATGCGGTGGGAGCTGCGCCTTGTAGGCCCGGGGAGGATCGGGTGAGGCCTGCTGCTGCCGTCGCTGCGCTTTCGTTTTTCCCCCCTCCTCCTCCGATTCCTCCTCCTCCTCCTGAGAGATCGTACAGCTTTAAGGAACTTGTCCGAATGGCGATGCGTTTTTGAGTCGGGTGTTTTCCTCTGGGGACTCCAGAGTCCAAGATCAACGTTTCCGCTCACTGTGCAACCTCGGTTCAGCGATGACAAATCGGGGCTCCCTGCCAAGGGGGGGGCCGCGTCGAACCGTCCTCGACAGAGGCACGCACGGTAGGTCGCAATTGACCGAGTTGCTCTCGGATGATTGATTTCAAGGCGAATCCATCACCTCGGCCCGATACCGTTCCGCCGCCGCCGCCGCGCCTCCTCCTCCTCCTCCTCCTCCTCCTCTCTCCTTCCTCCTCCTCCTCCTCCTCCTCCTCTCCTCCTCCTCCTCCTCCCCTCCTCCTCCTCCTCCTCTCTCCTCCTCCTCCTCCTCCTCCTCCTCCTCCTCCTCCTGGACATGTGCCTGGCCTAAACGACGCAGACATCGAAAGCCCATGCGAACCCCGACCCTACCCCCGACGACTTCTGAAGGGGAGGGTGGGGTTCACTTCGCTCGGGAGCTCCCGAGCGAAGTGAACCCCTCCCCCTAAGAAATCGTGGGGGGTATGGGGTAGGGTTTGCATGTGGCCCCCTATTGATGCGGCTGCTGCTGGACATCATGCGCCCGGCCTGGACGACGCAGACATCGAGAGCCAACCTGCGAGGGGGGGACAGGGTCGAGCGCCTCCTCGCTGCAAGCCGCCGAGGCACTGGCGACCCCGACGGTGCTCTTCGGCTCATCCAAGTTCGGAGAGCGGCGGCGCCGCGTGCCCCTGGGGGGCATCCCGTGGGAGAGGCGTGCACCTGGGGGGCATCCTCGGGGGGGGGGGGGGGGGGGGGGCAGCCGTGGGCGAGGCGGCGGTACCTGCGAGGTTCAGCCTGGGGCGGGGAGGAGCCGCCGCATTCGCCCCCAGCCCAGGCCGCGGGGAAGGGAGCGACGGCCGTGCACCCCCCCCGCGGGGGCCGGGAGGAGGAGGAGGAGGAGGAGGAGGAGGAGGAGGAGGGAGAGGAGGAGGAGGAGGAGGAGGAGGAGCAGGAGCAGGAGCAGGAGCAGGAGCAGGAGGAGGAGCAGGAGCAGGAACAGGAGGAGGAGGAGGAGGAGGAGGAGGAGGAGCAGGAGCAGGAGGACAGGAGGAGGAGGAGGAGGAGGAGGAGGAGGAGGAGCAGGAGCAGGAGCAGGAGCAGGAGCAGGAGCAGGAGCAGGAGGAGGAGGAGGAGGAGGATGAGGACGAGGAGGGCACTGACGACAGCAGTGTCTAGAGCTGCGGCGACGGGGGCCGCGCTCCCCGACCGACCCCGACGCAGCGGGGCCCCTGGGCCCTCGCAGCGCCCCGCGCGTGGACCCGTGCTGAGCTGGAGCCTCGCCGACTACACGTAAGAGTGACCCTTCGCTGGAGTGACCTTTGGCGCGGGCTCATCGGGCTCCCCCCGATCGCCGAGCGCGATGCGATATACGCGGCCCGCGCCCTTGGGTTTGGCTCCCTCGCGCCCCCAAAAGCTGCGCACCAAAGGTCACTCTTACCCAGGGTCACTCTTACGTCTAGCCGACCTCGGCGCGGCGCCCCGCTTGGTTGGCGACGCAGGCTTCGGGGACTTTCGCCAGAGGGGCGGCGCGACGCTCCACTCGGGAGCTTCGAAGCGGGGGTCGATGCAAACGGGGGTCGCCCAGACCGCCCGATCTCGCCGGACCCTGCAGGGCCAGGGTCGCGTGGGTCCGGGTGTGGGTGCAGGATCCTTCAGGGCCCTCCGCGCTGACCCGGGCTTGGGCGCAGGATCTTGCAGGATCTTGCAGGAGTCTGCAAGGCCTAACCTGACCCGGGTCTGGGGTGACCCGGGTCAGTACAGTCAAAAACCCTGATAGGGACGCGCGTCTTTGCTCAGGGTACCCTTGCGTCCTTGCTCTTCCTCGCTCTTGCGTCCTTGGGGTTTTCGTCGTCCGCCGCCCCAAAAATCCCAACCTCGGCTTCCAAGGGTCTTGCGTCCTTACCGCGCGTCCTTAGTAGGGTTTTTGACTGACTGACCCGGGTCTGGAGGAGGAGGAGGAGGAGGCGGAGGAGGGGGAGGAGGAGGAGGGAGGAGGAGGAGGAGGAGGAGGGGAGGAGGAGGAGGAGGAGGAGGAGGAAGAAGAAGAAGAAGAAGAGGAGGAGGCCTGCAGATCCCCGATCCACATGTGGAAGGAGTTCCTCTGTGCCTGCGCGCGGCGGCCGCGGGCTCTGCCGCGGCGGCGGCCGGGCTCGGGCGAGCCCGGCCCCGCCTTCGGTGTCGTCGTGGGCGGCGGCGACGGGCAGCCTCTTCCCCGCCGGCGCCTGGCGCGGGCTCGAAACCGCCGGCGCTGGGGCGCGGTCAGAAGAACCCATGGCGTTCAGTCGGGCCTGTCCCCCTACAGGGGGGTTTTCGACGGAAAATAAAAAAGGCCTCCAGAAATGCTCCAAACATAGTCGGGGGACTTTTTTATGTTTTTTTTGTTTTTGCCTTTGTGGGGCATTTGGGGGTTATTTCTGGTTTTTCGTCGAAAATCCTCCTGTCGGGGGACACGCCCGACAGAACCCGTGGCGTGAAAACTGGCACGCAGCCCCGCGTGCTCTCGACGGCCCCGAGGCCGTGGGCTCCGTCGTCGCCTCGGACAGGGACGCGGAGGCGCCGGGCGAGCGTGTCTGAGAGGGCGAGCGCAGCGACGGCATGCTCCCCTCGGGCGACGAAATCTATACATATCCACTGCTCCCTGACCATGCCCATCTTGAACCCAGGAGCTGTGTATGCGCCCTCCTGGCCAAGCCAGGAGGGCGTGGCGTATGCACCGCTGCGGGGTTGAGGATCGGCCTGTCCAGGGAGCAGTGGATATGTATAGATTTCGTCGCCCTATCCCCGACCGCTCGCGCGAGCTCCGGTTGCCCCAGCCGCCTCAGCCCTGAAAAGGGGCGCGGAGAGGGGCGCCGCCGGAGGCTCGAGCTTCTGGGGGCGTCGGAGGTCTGGGAAGGTCGAGCCAGCCGTGGCGACGGGCAGCTCCCCGGAGGCCCGAGAGAGGGGCGAAGACCGCCCCCAAAAAACTTCAGACCTCGAGGATCGAGCACCTCGCAGGTCGAAGGTCGGAGGCCGACGACCGCTGACGACGACGCCGACGGAGGGGGAGGATGATGACGACGACGGAGGAGGAAAGCGACAACGACGACGCCGGAGGAGAGGAAGACGAAGCGACGGAAGGAAGGGAGGGAAGGACGGAAGGAAAATGGGAGGGGGGCGGAAGGGGAAGCAAGGGGAGAAACATGAGGGAGGGAGGAGAAGGGGGAGGAGGAGGGGGAGCAGGGGAAGCGCGAGGAGGAGCGAGGAGGAGCGAGGAGGAGCGAGGAGGAGGAGCCGAGGAGCAGGATGAGGGGGAGGAGGAGGAGGAGGAGAGGAGAGGAGGAGAGAAGGAGGAGGAGGAGTGAGTGGAGACGGAGGAGGAGGGAGGAGGAGGAGGAGGAGCAGGCAGAGGAGCAGGAGCAGGAGCAGGAGCAGATCGAGGAGCAGGAGCGAGGAGCAGGAGCAGGAGGCTGGAACAGGAGGAGGAGAGAGGAGCCAGGAGGAGCAGGAGGAGAAGCAGGAGCAGAGCAGGAGCAGGGAGGATAGGAGGGAGAGGAGGAGGAGGAGGAGGGGAGGAGGGGAGGAGGAGGAGGAGGACGAGGAGGAGGAGGAGGAGGAGGAGGACGAGGAGGAGGAGGAGGAGGACGCGGACGAAATGAGGGAGGAGCTTTCGGTGCGGAGGCGGAGGCGGGACGATGGCGGAGGCGGAGGCGGAGGCGGAGGCGGAGGCGGAGGCGGAGGCGGAGGCGGAGGCGGAGGAGGAGGAGGAGGAGGCGGAGGAGGAGAAGCAGGAGCAGGAACAGGAGGAGCAGGTGCAGGTGCAGGAGCAGGAGCAGGCGCAGGAGCAGGAGCAGGAGCAGGAGCAGGAGCAGGAGCAGGAGCAGGAGCAGGAGCAGGAGCAGGAGCAGGAGCAGGAGCAGGAGCAGGAGCAGGAGCAGGAGCAGGAGCAGGAGCAGGAGCAGGAGCAGGAGCAGGAGCAG